GTATATGCCTAATGAATTGCCATTTTCATGATGCTTTGCATGGCTTGCTTTAGTGGTGTGATGATGTACATTTCAGCTACGATTCGCACATCACAGCAGAGTGACAGGTCGTCTGTATCCGCCTCACCCTACACTCATACACACACCAAGATCACCATGGAAACCCCATCTTCTTACACAGGTGCTTTATGGTTGCACAGCATTTAACAAAGAAACCTGGCTTCTGTGGCAGCACAGCCTTTAGAAATATAAGTGTTGACATAAAGTTAATTCAGAAGCAATACTGAAAATGCCATCTTTCTCATATATTCTTTTGGAAATTTTGAATATATAATCCTGGCAATAATGTTATAGATAGAATAGTAGTATGTGTGTCAACTAATCACGCAAGAGACCAGGACCCGGGAAGATCCGGGTTAGAATAGGTCTTCAGCGACCCATGCTTGGTGTAAGCGGTGACTATGCTTGTCGTAAGAGACGATTAACAGAAGCAGGGGGTCAGGTTTGCTGACTTGGTTGATGCATGTCATCATATCCCAAAAAGTCTGATCCAGACTCAATTACTTACAGACTGTTGTCATATAGCTGCAATAAACAAACATTAAGGGACTAGGATTGGGTTCCACACTTTATGAAGCACATGGTGTTCCATTAGTTGTAGTGGTGCTATGGATCTAATGTGAAGTGAATGTTGTCAGCGCTATGTCCAACCTGTTTAGACCAGACAAACTATAATTGTTAAACTGACACAAAACCTATTCTTATTCCCTTTTCCAATTCCCACATTCTCCAGGGTTATTGAATGAGACCACCATCACCCCATCAGCTCTGCGCCCTGGCAACCCCACCCCTGCTCATGCTGCTGGTCAGGGTTCCCCTGCCCCCCTCAGGCCAAAGAACCCCACCCCTGCCCAGGCTGAGAAGTCCATGAATGAACGACCAGGTGGGTGATGATGATGTAACATTAAATGATGGGTTTATCCTTAATACCTTATTTGCAAAAGAAACATGGACAAAAGTCATGTAAGAGTTATGCTTGTTATATTGTGAGCTGTAATGCTAAGTGTTGTATGTTTAGAGCACACACATGACAAGTAGGGCATTTGTTTTTGCTTGCAGTGAACCCCACACCGAAGCTTGCTGGTGGTGGTGGCGTTATGACCGACTCCCCCTCTGAGCCTCCCAGCCAGTACCATGGTAGCGACTACCCTGCCATCAAGGAGCAGCCTCGGGAAGAGGAAGGCAAGTTGGTAGAGGAGTAGCAGTCTGCAACTTTAGCCACTAGTCAGAAGAGCAAACTAGTAGCATATTGGTCTAGTATGCTCAGCTAGTATGTGTCTTTATAAATAACATGATAATCTGCTGAAAAGAATGCATAGAGCAAATTTGGGTCCTGTTGACTCAAGTCTGGGGACAGACCGGAGTAGTGTTCAACTGAAGGAAGTCTATGACTCTCAGCTGGCTACATAGGGCACAAGTGGATCAGCTTCCGTAAAATGTACAGATTTGGATCTTTAGTCATGCTACTGTTTCTGTTTTCTGTCTACAGATTAAGCTGTGTGTAAGTGTGTGTTAGTGTATGTTAGTGTATGTAAATGTATGTATCCCTGTTGTCAGGTGTTTCGACAGAGTTTTCCCGGGACAATGACTTTGTGTTGACCCGCAGTCTGAAGGTGAATGTGACTGGGGAACCCAGAAAGTACACTGTGCCCCTCCCGTCTTCCATCCAGGGAGGGAGACCCGGAGCACAGCCAAATGATAGGGTAAGTAAACAGAACAGAAAGGGTAATATGTTTGAATCAAATTAATTGATAATATTGATAGTAATAATGATAAGCATGATTATGATAAACAGAAATGATGGATGATGTTTCATGACAAAGTAAAACAAGGCATGGATTATTCACTGGATGATGGTATCAACTGCTGAATATCTCAACATTTTGCTAAGATTTGGGACAGCGGACAAGAGACTGAAATATAGCAGTCAAAACTCCTACACAGAAATATGTTTCTTCTAATTGATTGAAGTGTATTTTGCATTCCTTTTGATATATGAAGCCAAACAGGATGACACAGATTACACAAACACATCATTCAGTACAGCCAAAACCCAGTTGTGTGGTGAGATCATCAATTTTCTATTTATTCTTGTTAGTTCCAAGAAGTAGAGGATATTGTGCGTCGACGTGTAAACAACACAGTGGTTGCTGGGGCAACCTACCAGGGTCACACCCGGCTTCAGCAGATGAGAGGTCTGAACCTGTTGCCCGAAGATGTTGACTTTGGCGTGCTAAAGGAGGGCTACACCTACTCCTTCAGCGTTTACCTGAGGAACACCGGCGTAGACAGCTGCCGCTTCAAACTACAGCAGCCACCACCAGCCACAGGACTAAGAGTTGTTTACAAACCTGGACCGGTCAGTAGTTCCCTGAAACACTAGTCCACCACTTCATTGTAAGGCCATAATGATATGATATGATATGAGATATGATATGAGATGATATGAGATATGATATGATATGATATGATATGATATGATATGATATGATATGATATGATATGATATGATATGAGATATGATATGAGATGAGATGAGATGAGATGAGATGAGATGAGATATGATAAAAAAATTTATAACAAATTATAACAAATTAAATTAATTAAATCAAATTAAATATCAGCTGGACATAGGCTGAGGGCAACACTTTACAGGTGAAAAGTGGTATGACACTCAACATGGTTGTGTTGGTTTGAACAGCATGATTATGTAATATTACTTGTCAACTACATAGTATTTGTTCTATTTAACAGTTGATATCATACTTTGGCCACCTGTATTATTTTTGTGTTTCTCCCTAGGGTCCTAAATTACTGTCCTGCTCAAAATAAAGGAAATTATCTAGTCTTGGGGAAAAAATAACAAATATCTCAGTTTTTGGTCCTCAGTATTTATGCAGTATATATTTGAAAATCATTGCCGACTGCAACCTTGGTAATGTGGCTGTCTAGGTTGACATTCTAAACTGTTGACTTCATATTCTTGTTAATGACAGTGCTGTGGCCTTCCTCGCTGCTGCTCTAGAGATAGGAAACACACAAAATAATAGGGATGGCCTTATGGGATTAGGTTTAGACAAATACTGTCGGATGTGATGTAGCTGATGTCTATGTGTGTGACAGGTAGCAGCAGGCATGAAGGCCGAGCTGACCCTGGAGCTGTACGCCATTGCTGTCGGTGTGGAGGGAGAATCTGGAGTCGGTGTTGTTTCTCATGACCTCATCATTGTCACCGAGACAGATGTCCTACGCTTGCCCATCAGAGCAAATATCCTTTCTTGAAAAAATCCTGAATGTCAGTGTTTTCACAAGCCATATAATTTGTCAGTTGCAGTGGTTTCCTGGCCAATCAGGTTACCAGTTGACTTACTTATGGTGCAGGTCACAATAATCGGGGAAGCTGAATCTAAATCTTGTCAACAATCAGATTGGGATGCCCATGGTTGTGATTCACAGCACTATCTATGTGGTTCCTTTCTTTAAGCTTTAGTTCTACTTCTAATAGTTTTATATGTCAATATATCAAGTTAAAATCATTAAATTTTGGTGCATGGTTCTTAAAGTTGTATCTAAAAGGCACTGAAAAGTTTGTATAATTTGGAGAAAATCGTTGGCTAAGGGTATGTTTAATGCAAAATGAAAATAATAGTGGTAACATCAAAGTACTTATCATGGGTGTGTGATGAGCATTATTAACCTATGTAGAATTTGTTTTTTGTTTATCGGTTCTGTTTCTGGCACTGACTGGATTATTTACAGGCTGCTGTTATGTAGCTGGAATATTGTTAAGTGCAGTGTATACAGAAAAGAAGATTTAACTGTTCGTATTTGAATATGGATCAGTAGGTGCAACATGAGGCAATCTGTTGTCTACTCTCTCTCGATCTATTTTCATCATGTTTCTTGAGCAAATTGTATTGCAATACATACAGTGAATATTGTAGAACAGCATCTATATATTTTGTTTTAATAATATTAATGAATAATAATTCTATGATTATTATTATTGAAACACCCCATGCAAAGTAACCTGCCTTGTCAAAGTTGACAAGGCAAGAGAAATAAGAAAGGCATATGTTGGGTTCAAGGTCATAGGTGTGGCAGGACTTGTGGGCTGCCCTAAGCTATTATTATAATGAATTATATTTGGCAACTTGAGTTAGCAGCAAGCAGCAAGCAGCAGCAGCAGCAGCAATGGGCAACTATGCTGCCAGCAGCAAAATACTAAGTTTCTGCTGAAAAGCAGACATGAATTAAGTTAAGCCTAAAGGTTCCAATCCGCTGAGAAGCAGAGGGACTGAACAGATTCCCGCTGAGAAGCAGGGACCTGATAATTTTGATGATTACTTGGTGATTAAGTAAGTATTTACATTTGTAGCCCACAAGAACCACGCCCACCTATAACATTTATTGAATAAATAAGCAATATACATAGTTTGCCCTGAGCCATATATGTACACAAGATTGATTAGAGAGAATATGAATGTGGCAGGCTAGGGGTAGGGTGGGTGGGAACCAAAAGTTGAGAATCGCTGTACAAAATTGGGTACAGAAAATTTTGACAGAACTAACAGATGATGGTGATGAAGATGGTGATGACGCAAGAGAAAGTTTGATGACATCATAGGAAGTAGAATTATGACGTAAGTGGCGGGAGGTTGTAAGAGGAAATGACGTAAGGAGATAAACAAAGAGGTGCATTATGGTTTCAATAAACCCATTTAGTGAGAAGCACTAAATGAAATTATTATTATTATTATTATTATTATTATTTCAAAATGCCTGGTGACAGTGATTGAGAAAGACCAATCAGAGCTGAATATTTTCCAAATTCATGGTAGAATTTTTATTAACATCTTTGAGGAATTGACCTGTTATTTTGGTCAACAACTTTGTCCTTGACCTTTGCCACCAGTTCTGACCTCGCATGAATTTGAGAGAAGGATCCAGGAGAGTCCAGTACGAGGGAAGTCTCCACAGGCTCGTCTCGTGTCCACCAAACCTCCGTCTACCACCGGTATCATCAGACCTCGAAGAGACCAGGAGATCACTGGTGAGATCTTTGAATCTTGAAATAAATTAGTTAAATAAATTAAAGTTCTTAAAAATAGTACCAAGTGGCTATGTAGATCACTTGAATTCTTTTAGATGTTTAAATAATTTGAAATGCATATTAAAACAGTGAGACTGATAGTGATAATGTGATTATTTGGTATATGCTCTGACACATTGACATATTGAAAACTGGACTTTACAAATACCATATAGATATATTAGTTCTTAGATACATACAGATACATTGCTACATACAAATACAAACAGACACATACATCAAGGGATCAATATAAGGGAAAAGAAAATTTTAAACACCTTCGGTCAGGGGAAAATAATGTTTTGTGTCTCTTTGGTTCAGGTGAGCTAACAATTATGGGTCTAGAATTTCATACTTAAAAAAAAAAGAATTTTCCTATTTGAAATAATCACTGATTACAATGTATGTTTTGTTCTGTCCCAGGCAAAGTGTGACATCTTCATCCTGGAGGAGAGCAGCTTCACCCACCAGGAAACTATTTTCCACAAGACTAATGCTGTGATATTCATTTTTTCTTTTTATTTATCTAAACTTTCTACTGTACATATTGTAGAATACCATTTTCACCTTGAAACATATGAAATGTACATTATCTGTGATGTTTCTTTTGTGATATAACTGTGTATAAAAGATCATTATGTTAAATTAAATATTCATGAATCTTATTTTATTTGTTTTAACTGATCATCAGTGTTTACCAGTACTGACTGAAAGACATCCTTGCAGGAAGAGAAACAAACAGAAGCATGTTTTATTCAGTGCTCAATATTGATCTACATACTTGATGGATTGGCTGGACAGGCTGGGTGACTTGGTAGCTTGTCAGTGTGCCCGACCATCTGGTTCACTGCCCGTAATATCAATCACTGGTTTGTCTGGTCAAGACTCAATTATTTATTGGCTGCTGTCACATAGATGGAATATTTCTGAATTAGTCATTAAACAAACAAACAAACAAACAAACAAACATTATATTATGAACAAAATGAGAGTTGTGATTCCTTGTATCAGTTAGCAGTGGCATGGTTGAAATAGAAATTATATAGTTAAAATATGTTCCAGGTGCCTCTCCACTTTAGCTTCGATTACATGCACTTAACTGAATTGGGCAAATGTACATCGGGAGTAAATTTACCCCTTGGCATAAACCATCCCCTTTATGGCAATTTGCCCCTTGTCATGAGGTGGAGAAAATTCCATTACCCACAGCGTAAAGTTACCCTGTGGGGTCATATGTGGTGTAAACGCTCTTGCAATCTATCACCTTGGGTAAATGACTAGTATCATCAATGTATGTTTGTCATGAAATTGGAATACTTAAGTCCCTGAACTATCTTCCCCACATGTACATGGTCTGGGTCAACACCATTTACATTATTACCAGTAAACTGATTTGAGTGCTTCACAACGGCCACTCAACTGTCATTATTTTGCCTCTGATATGTACACGCTGGTACTGCAACAAGAGACCTTAATTTCTTTTATCCAGTTGGGATAAAGGAACATGTGTTCATCTTCGCACAGTTGGAACAAACCCCACATGTAACACCACGTGTGTACTCGAACAACAAGTCGTGGTGGTGACAAAGTATGGGTACTTTATTCTTAATAGCATTCAACCAAGTACAACCAGGCTATCCATCCTACAGACAGAGGAAGGCAGCCCAGTTTGGCTGATACTTGGTCAGCTAATGGGCTGTGAGCTTGTCAAGGTTCATCCCTCCTTGTCCCTGGCTTGCCTATCTGCTGGTCTGACTGCTCTTCTGGATGTTTGCTCATTCTGTCTTGCTTTAATATTCTGCCTGCAGATGACTGACTGCCATTCTAATTAGCTGGACATTTGGCAGTGTAATTGACTGTGATAGATGGACATAGATTGGGGTGTACATGTCATAATAATTCATTGATGTGTAATTATCTTAAAGGTTGCTTGCACATGATGAAGCACGATTCTAATAATCTGGACACTTCTAATTAGCTGGACAGTTCTCAGTGTAAGCAACTCTGTTAGATGGACGTAGCTCGGGGTGTTAAGCTTCCTCTGCATCTCCAGGGCTAGCATTTCAGTAAACCTACACTAACCACTGGATTCATTCCCATGGTTCTCACAATCTCAAATTACCAACCCTTGATTTCCTTTTGCCTATATGACTGGCTATGTTACAAGGTCTACTTGGAGAAATTCAACATTAAAAAACTGACTGACACGCAAAAGAAACCCCCAAAAATCGTTTTTGAAAAAGGATGTGTACATGTCCAATAAAACTGGCGATGGCTTTGGTTTCTCGGTAATACGAGTTACCTCCCTTACCCTTTCCCTTCTGTCAATGTTTGATTGGTCGGGAAAATGTTAATGAAAATCAAGTCAGGTAATTTGTGATCACAAGAACCACGGGGATGGGTCCAGGGGATAGTGTAAGAAATACTAGCCCTAGACAAGGGCAGATCCAGCATTTTTAAAAGGGAGGGCTCCAAAATATCAAAATCCTCTCTCAGATAATTTAACTGCCTACAACATACTACATTCATGACAGGTCATTCGACCAGTAATTGGTCTTTAAGATTTCTAAATGATCATGTTTCTTCGACCCTCAAACTCTGTCCAACGACTAAACAATTTAGTTGACCCAGGTATGGAGTCGCCCATGACAAAGTTTACACACATCTACATCTTTTTTTTTTGTCGTGAATCTTCTCCTTCCCTTGAAACAACCAAACACGATTTAATCACCGTACGCATACTGCTCAGTATGTCATTGGTGTGTGCTTTGTCCACAAAAAGTACCACTGAGCTTTTTGGTTTCACCTGCCATAAGAACTGAAACATTGCTCAAAGTTAAACCCAATTTACTCTGTCACTCAGCACAATAAGTATTTCCACTTCAAAGTCAGCAATCCCCACTTGGTGCTTCAATAGTGGAGACAATCAGAAGGATTGACTTCGTGTTGGGCCATCTATCAATAAATACATACATACACTGACTTTGTGTTGGGCCGACTATCCATACATACAAACATTGACTATGTGTCAAGCCATCTATCCATACATACATCCATTGACTTCTTGTTGGGCCATCTATCCATACATACACTGACTTCGTGTCAAGCCATCAATCCATACATACATTGACTTCTTGTCAAGCCATCTATCCATACATACAAACATTGACTTCGTGTCAAGCCATCTATCCATACATACATTGACTTCTTGTTAGGCCATCTATCCATACATACATTGACTCGTGTTTGGCCATCAATCCATACATACATTGACTTCGTGTTTGGCCAACAATCAATACATACATTGACTTCGTGTCAAGCCATCTATCCATACATACACTGACTTCGTGTCAAGCCATCTATCCATACATACACTGGCTTCTTGTCAAGCGATCTATCCATACATACATCCACTGGCTTCTTGTCAAGCCATCTATCCATACATACAAACATTGACTTCGTGTCAAGCCATCTATCAATACATACATTGACTTCTTGTTGGGCCATCTATCCATACATACATTGACTTCGTGTTTGGCCATCAATCCATACATACATTGACTTCGTGTCAAGCCATCTATCCATACATACACTGACTTCGTGTCAAGCCATCTATCCATACATACACTGACTTCGTGTCAAGCCGTCTATCCATACATACATCCATTGACTTCTTGTTAGGCCATCTATCCATACATACATACATTGACTTCTTGCTGGGCCATCTATCCATACATACACTGACTTCGTGTTTGGCCATCAATCCATACATACATTGACTTCGTGTCAAGCCATCTATCCATACATACATCCATTGACTTCTTGTTAGGCCATCTATCCATACATACATACATTGACTTCTTGTTGGGCCATCTATCCATACATACACTGACTTCTTGTTGGGCCATCTATCCATACATACATTGACTTCTTGTTAGGCCATCTATCCATACATACATTGAATTCGTGTTTGGCCATCAATCCATACATACATTGACTTCGTGTTTGGCCATCAATCCATACATACATTGACTTCTTGTTGGGCCATCTATCCATACATACATCCACTGGCTTCTTGTCAAGCCATCTATCCATACATACACTGGCTTTTTGTCAAGCCATCTATCCATACATACATCCATTGACTTCTTGTCAAGCCATCTATCCATACATACATTGACTTCTTGTTAAGCCATCTATCTATACATACATTGACTTCGTGTTGGGCCATCTATCAATACATACATTGACTTCGTGTCAATCACTATCCATACATACATACATTGACTTCTTGTTGGGCCATCTATCCATACATACATTGACTTCGTGTCAAGCCATCTATCCATACATACACTGACTTCGTGTTTGGCCATTTATCCATACATACATACATTGACTTCGTGTCAAGCCATCTATCCATACATACATTGACTTTTTGTTGGGCCATCTATCAATACATACATTGACTTCGTGTCAAGCCATCTATCCATACATACATACATTGACTTCTTGTTGGGCCATCTATCCATACATACACTGACTTCTTGTTGGGCCATCTATCCATACATACATTGACTTCGTGTCGAGCCATCTATCCATACATACATTGACTTTCCATCGAGCCATCTATCCATACATACATTGACTTTCCATCGAGCCATCTATCCATACATACATTGACTTCGTGTCGAGCCATCTATCCATACATACATTGACTTTGTGTTTGGCCATCTATCAATACATTAATTGACTTCGTGTCAAGCCATCTATCCATACATACATTGACTTCTTGTTAGGCCATCTATCCATACATACATACACTGACTTCGTGTTGGGCCATCTATCAATACATACATTGACTTCGTGTCAAGCCATCTATCCATACATACATACATTGACTTCGTGTCAAGCCATCTATCCATACATACATACATTGACTTCTTGTTGGGCCATCTATCCATACATACACTGACTTCGTGTTTGGCCATCTATCCATACATACACTGACTTCGTGTTTGGCCATCTATCCATACATACATACATTGACTTCGTGTCAAGCCATCTTTCCATACATACATTGACTTCGTGTTGGGCCATCTATCAATACATACATTGACTTCGTGTCAAGCCATCTATCCATACATACATTGACTTTCCATCGAGCCATCTATCCATACATACATTGACTTTCCATCGAGCCATCTATCCATACATACATTGACTTCGTGTCGAGCCATCTATCCATACATACATTGACTTCGTGTCGGGCCATCTATCCATACATACATTGACTTCGTGTCGGGCCATCTATCCATACATACATTGACTTCGTGTCGAGCCATCTATCCATACATACATTGACTTCGTGTCGGGCCATCTATCCATACATACACTGGCTTCGTGTGGATCTGTGATGTTAAAACTTGTTGGTCTATAGTGTGTTTATCAGAGATTATATCTCGCCAAATGATTACACATTTGTAATACAACATTTGCATCAACACGTGGTTCTTGTTTTGTTTTTTTAAAAACCGTTCAGTATACTTTCATAACATTGTCAGTTTATCATTATCAACAACATTTTCAATGACCTTCCTTTTTGATGTTTGGGCGGTGGAGTAGCCTTGTGGTTGAAGCGTTCGCTCGTCGCGCTGAAGACACGGGTTCGATTCCCTACATGGACACAATGCGATATTGCTGCGAAATTACTCACTCACTCACTTCTTTCAATGTTTTTTTGTTTGATTTGATACAATTTGCAGATTATAGCTCACTCTCAGTCAGTCCAAAAGTTAATTTACACCCGGTGATTGAAATGTGGGTTCAAAATATTTATCTCGAAATCTATAGCAATGATGAGAACTCGTCGAAAACCCTCTACACGTTTTGAGTTAACTGTAGCGGGGCATAAAACTTTAACTTGTGACAGTTCCGCAAGATTCCGTTTCGCTTGAGCCTTCAGAAACTGACAGCACATCTTGGAATTAGACAATTGAACCCAGTGTATCCTTCTCCACCTTCTAAAACCTCTCATTGTCTTTTCCTGAAGCTAGGCTTGTGTTTTGAACTTACAAAGGATGACTAAAATGTTCTGAGTCTGACTACGATGTAACATGTAACAAGTACACTATTCTCGATGCTTTAAATGCAACATTTGTACCACAACCAGGCAACATATTTTTGCAGGCATCAAAGTGGCCATTAAAGTGGCAATTCTCTGTTGATGAAAAATGGACAAAATTGGCTACTGAGCTTTCATCAAGCATCTCCATATGCGGACGTGTCAACTTTAGGGGAGGATGTTCCGTCCTTGACCACTCTGTGATATAAAATGTTCTGTGTATGATTGTGTTCTGTGGGTCCAATGCCTTTGTTACAGTTTATCATAATTTCTCTTTCATTATCTGTGAAACAGGTCATTGAAACCTGACCACGACAGTGTCATCACAAACAACTGGGGAAATTAGGTTCAAATTGAAACGGGAAATGTAAGACTATAACTAACACACGTTGTGACATTATAATGTGGGCCAAAGAGAGCTCACAGGATACATTCACATGGGAATAAGCTCTCGTTGACTATGAACTGTATCCGGGCTGGTCATGCCATTTGGGCCATTCTCCAAAACAAACGATCGTTATTGCGATGTATATCAAAGCACGTGATCATGGCGCATAGCAACGCCTGCTATATATTCCGCTCCTGGAGCCTCGCTGGCAAACAGAGAAATCCTCACGCACAGAGAATACCATGGTGTACACAAGGGCGATTGTGGGGCTGCTGGCATTGTGTGCTGTGGGTAAGTTATGTTCATGAACACATTTACCTGTCATGCACGGGTGGTCTTACGATTTGTTCTGACAATAGGGTGGGACACGTTCGGTCTTTATCTTATAAACTATAGTGGCGTCATCATATTGTTCTAAGGTTTCTCCAAATAGTAGAAACCCGCAAATACAGTTACTGGTATGCATGCCCAGGTAATTCGAAGACAACGCCCTCGACTTTATAACTTCACTGTAGAGTGTTACATCACCAAAGATTTATTAACATCCTTTTAATATGCTTCTAATGTTGAGTTTTGACTGGTTAAAAGTAACGATGTTTTACATGAATATTCCATGACGTGAATAGAACCTTCAACCTCATATATCAAGTTTAGTATTGTATCCCACTGTTTTCTTCTGAGCCAGGTGATGAAGGGGTGTTCAGTCTTAGATGTCATGACTTCATTTGTCTGCAAATACACATTGTCTTTCTCTCGATATCGTCCGCTGTCATCGAATTCGTTTTATACCCCGACTACTGTATTGTTTCACTATAAGATATCCCGATGTTGTTGCTTTTAATTCGTTCTAGTATTTCTTGCATTTTGATAGTTCATAAGTTAGTTAAAACACTCCTGGGTTTTGGTTGAAAATGTAAAACGTCGAGCTCGGGAAAAGCCCACGTTCGGCCTTCTGGCCTTTGCCTCGCTCGCGGTTTTACATTTCAATCAAAACCCAGGAGTCGTGTTAGAACTTTCACGCCAGCGCCGTCTGTCTTAACTCATCATCCGGAGGCAAGGGGTGAACTGACTGTAAAAGTCCAGTTCCCACTTTTATAGTCTGTTAACCCCCTTGCCTCGGGAAGATGGTCCTAACTGTACCTGACGTACTGTTTCGAGAATGTAAGTTCACGTCTTATTTGGATTATCTACCTTTCCTTTTGTTTGAGAAACTTACACACTTTATCACAAATGGGTCAGTATTGTTGCCCTTCCTAACTTCACTTGTATTAAAACTACTAAAGCCAGTAGGCATATGGAATCTCACTATAAATTATGAAACTGAAACTGCACATTTCTGTACAACTTAGTTTAATTTCTCCGCGATATTGTTGACACCAGCCCAACAGCTGTTAACACGACGTACATTACACGTTATACATTGTCTGAAGGCTGGGTCAGACGCAATAAAACAATATAACAACAAAATAGAATCAATCGGTGTTATTGTACGGATGTGTGAGAAACGGGTTTTAGTTATTTCAAAATGCCGTCCTTACAGAAAAGTGGTCTTTGCGTTACATAGTTACGATTTGTCGCGAGTCAGTGTACAAAGCAGGAGGATTAGGATCATCGTAGTAGTAAGATCTGTCCGTCCAAGTTGACGTTCAGTTTAGAATGGATATTTTGTCAATCGACAACACAATTTCTTAAGACGTTCTGTACCAACTCCCGGCTCCACCTGCCCAGCTCTGGCTGGTGTACATGCATATATTATCACACATTCGTGAGCATGACCATAGCAGGACATTGTGTTACTGGCGACTTCTGCATGACAATAGCAGGACATTGAGACACTGGCGACTCGACATTTGAATGTTTTAAAGTTTAACCTTTAAGTTTGATAAAAGTTGATACCTTAATTGTTTCTGCATGACAATAGCAGGACATTGTGTTACTGGCGACGTCAGCATGACAATAGCAGGACATTGTGTTACTGGCAACGTCAACATGACAATAGCAGGACATTGAGTCACTGACGACTCGACATTTGAATGTTTTAAAGTTGAACCTTTAAGTTTGATCAAAGTTGATACCTTTATTGTTTCGCCGTTTCAGCTCAATGCCAGCGATTTGATGCACTGAACAAATATATCATCGACAAAGCCGCGGGCACCTCCATACCAGTCAGTGCCACCAGCAAGTCACTTAATGTATCGATAGGGATGACCCTCATACAGCTAACCTCACTAGTAAGTACCATCACAGCTAACCTCACTGGTAAGTACCATCACAGCTAACCTCACTGGTAAGTACCATCACAGCTAACCTCACTGGTAAGTACCATCACAGCTAACCTCACTGGTAAGTACCATCACAGCTAACCTCACTGGTAAGTACCATCACAGCTAACCTCACTGGTAAGTACCATCACAGCTAACCTCACTTGTAAGTACCATCACAGCTAACCTCACTGGTAAGTACCATCACAGCTAACCTCACTGGTAAGTACCATCACAGCTAACCTCACTGGTAAGTACCATCACAGCTAACCTCAATGGTAAGTACCATCACAGCTAACCTCACTGGTAAGTGCCATCACAGCTAACCTCACTGGTAAGTACCATCACAGCTAACCTCACTGGTAATTTTAAGTACCATCACAGCTAACATCACTGGTAAGTACCATCACAGCTAACCTCACTGGTAAGTACCATCACAGCTAACCTCACTGGTAAGTACCATCACAGCTAACCTCACTGGTAAGTACCATCACAGCTAACCTCACTGGTAAGTACCATCACAGCTAACCTCAATGGTAGGTACCATCACAGCTAACCTCACTGGTAAGTGCCATCACAGCCAACCTCACTGGTAAGTGCCATCACAGCTAACCTCACTGGTAAGTACCATCACAGCTAACCTCACTGGTAATTTTAAGTACCATCACAGCTAACCTCACTGGTAAGTACCATCACAGCTAACCTCACTGGTAAGTACCATCACAGCTAACCTCACAGGTAAGTACCATCACAGCTAACCTCACTGGTAAGTACCATCACAGCTAACCTCACTTGTAAGTACCATCACAGCTAACCTCACTGGTAAGTACCATCACAGCTAACCTCACTGGTAAGTACCATCACAGCTAACCTCACTGGTAAGTACCATCACAGCTAACCTCACTTGTAAGTACCATCACAGCTAACCTCACTGGTAAGTGCCATCACAGCTAACCTCACTGGTAAGTACCATCACAGCTAACCTCACTGGTAATTTTAAGTACCATCACAGCTAACCTCACTGGTAAGTACCATCACAGCTAACCTCACTGGTAAGTACCATCACAGCTAACCTCACTCGTAAGTACCATCACAGCTAACCTCAATGGTAGGTACCATCACAGCTAACCTCACTGGTAAGTGCCATCACAGCTAACCTCACTGGTAAGTGCCATCACAGCTAACCTCACTGGTAAGTACCATCACAGCTAACCTCACTGGTAATTTTAAGTACCATCACAGCTAACCTCACTGGTAAGTACCATCACAGCTAACCTCACTGGTAAGTACCATCACAGCTAACCTCAATGGTAAGTACCATCACAGCTAACCTCACTGGTAAGTACCATCACAGCTAACCTCACTGGTAAGTACCATCACAGCTAACCTCAATGGTAAGTACCATCGCAGTTAACCTCACTGGCAAGTACCATCACAGCTAACCCCACAGGTAAGTACCATCACAGCTAACCCCACTGGTAAGTACCATGGACCAACCAGTCAATGTATCCACACTCATGTCCCTTATACTGCAAACCTCACTGGTAAGTACCATTATACATCGGCTTAGAATCCTGAAGTGGTTTTCAGTTTCAGTTTGTCCGATGCGTTTGCACCGGCCTGACACATTGAAGAATACCACGCACCTGTTTACCCCTCCAGTTTCTGAACAGTGGACCTTTAAACATGTTTTACTAAAAACCGTTTGACACCTCCGGAAATGTTCTAATACTTTTATGGCAGTGTCGTCCCCGTTCTCAAATACTACAATAACTAATATTTGTCCGTATTACCATCTGATACACGCTCCTAATACTGGTGCATCTTCACTTTGTCGGCCAATACTGGTGTACCTTCCATTTGTCTGCCAATACTGCTGTACCTTCACGTTCACTCCCAATACTGGTGTACCTTCCATTTGTCTGCCAATACTGCTGTACCTTCACGTTCACTCCTACTACTGGTGTACCTTCCATTTGTCTGCCAATACTGCTGTACCTTCACGTTCACTCCCAATACTGGTGTACCTTCCATTTGTCTGCCAATGCTGCTGTACCTTCACGTTCACTCCTAATACTGGTGTACCTTCCATTTGTCTGCCAATACTGCTGTACCTTCACGTTCACTCCCAATACTGGTGTACCTTCACTTTGTCTGCCAATACTGCTGTACCTTCACGTTCACTCCCAATACTGGTGTACCTTCCATTTGTCTGCCAATACTGCTGTACCTTCACGTTCACTCCTAATACTGGTGTACCTTCACTTTGTCTGCCAATCATGGCGTACCTTCACTTTGTCTCCTAATACTGCTGCACCTTCCATTTGTCTGCTACTACTGGTGTACCTTCACGTGCACTCCTAATACTGGCGTACCTTCACTTTGTCTGCGTATACTGCTGTACCTTCACGTTCACTCCTAATACTGTCCGCCCGGGGTTCGATCCCCGGCCGCGTCATACCAAAAGACGTTAAAAGATGGTACTTGTTGTTACCCTGTCTGGCGCTCGGCATTAAGGGGCTAAAACAAGGACTGGTCGGCTCGGAGTCAGTATACTGTGTCTGAATTGGGTATTCATGTTAAACTGCGGCATGGTATCTCAGTGAGCTAGCACTATAAATCGGCATCAGCCCGGACTAGTACAAGCAGCCACACACACGTGCATGCACGTCGCTATATAAGTGCAATAATCTTGGACGCGACGTTAAACCCAATTTCACCTCACCTCACCTAATACTGGCGTACCTTCACTTTGTCTGCCAATACTGCTGTACCTTCACGTTCACTCCAAATACTGGTGCATCTTCACTTTGTCTGCCAATACTAGCGTACCTTTACTTTGTCTCCTAATACTGGTGTACCTTCCATTTGTCTGCCAATACTGCTGTACCTTCACGTTCACTACTAATACTGGTGCATCATCACTTTGTCTGCCAATCATGGCGTACCTTCACTTTTTCTCCTAATACTGGTGTACCTTCCATTTGTCTGCCAATACTGCTGTACCTTCACGTTCACTACTAATACTGGTGCATCATCACTTTGTCTGCCAATCATGGCGTACCTTCACTTTGTCTCCTAATACTGGTGTACCTTCCATTTGTCTGCTACTACTGTTGTACCTTCACGTGCACTCCTAATACTGGCGTACCTTCACTTTGTCTGCCAATACTGCTGTACCTTCACGTTCACTCCTAATACTGGTGCATCTTCACTTTGTCTGCCAATACTGCTGTACCTTCACGTTCACTCCTAATACTGGTGCATCTTCACTTTGTCTGCCAATACTAGCGTACCTTTACTTTGTCTCCTAATACTGGTGTACCTTCCATTTGTCTGCCAATACTGCTGTACCTTCACGTTCACTACTAATACTGGTGCATCATCACTTTGTCTGCCAATCATGGCGTACCTTCACTTTGTCTCCTAATACTGGTGTACCTTCCATTTGTCTGCCAATACTGCTGTACCTTCACGTTCACTACTAATACTGGTGCATCATCACTTTGTCTGCCAATCATGGCGTACCTTCACTTTGTCTCCTAATACTGGTGTACCTTCCATTTGTCTCCTACTACTGTTGTACCTTCACGTGCACTCCTAATACTGGCGTACCTTCACTTTGTCTGCCAATACTGCTGTACCTTCACGTTCACTCCTAATACTGGTGCATCTTCACTTTGTCTGCCAATACTGACGTACCTTTACTTTGTCTCCTAATACTGGTGTACCTTCCATTTGTCTGCCAATACTGCTGTACCTTCACGTTCACTCCTAATACTGGCGTACCTTCACTTTGTCTGCCAATACTGGTGTACCTTCACGCTCACTCCTAATACTGGTGTACCTTCCATTTGTCTGCCAATACTGCTGTACCTTCACGTTCACTCCTACCACTGGTGCACCTTCACTTTGTCTGCCAATACTGCTGTACCTTCACGTTCATTCCTAATACTGCTGAACCTTCCATTTGTCTGTCAATACTGGTGTACCTTCACCTCGTCTGCCAATACTGCTGTACCTTCACTTTGACTCCCAATACTGGTGTACCTTCACTTTGTCTGTCAATACTGGTGTACCTTCACCTCGTCTGCCAATACTGGTGTTTATTCACCTCGTCTGCCAATACTGCCGTACCTTTACTTTGACTCCCAATACTGGTGTACCTTCACCTCGTGTGCCAATACTGATGTACCTTCACTTTGTCTGCCAATACTGCTGTACCTGCACGTTCACTCCTAATACTGCTGAACCTTCGATTTGTCTGTCAATACTGGTGTACCTTCACCTCGTCTGCCAATACTGCTGTACCTTCACTTTGTCTGTCAATACTGCTGTACCTTCACCTCGTCTGCCAATACTGCCGTACCTTTACTTTGACTCCAAATACTGGTGTACCTTCACCTCGTCTGTCAATACTGCTGTACCTTCACTTTGTCTGTCAATACTGCTGTACCTTCACCTCGTCTGCCAATACTGCCGTACCTTTACTTTGACTCCAAATACTGGTGTACCTTCACCTCGTCTGTCAATACTGGTGTACCTTCACCTCGTCTGCCAATATTGCCGTACCTTTACTTTGACTCTCAATACTGCTGTACCTTCACTTTGTCTGTCAATACTGGTGTACCTTCACCTCGTCTGCCAATACTGCCGTACCTTTACTTTGACTCCCAATACTGTTGTAGCTTTACTCCCAAAGCCACAGCACGCTCACAATATTGGCGTCGGTGTGTGCAGGTTTTCTTTAGTGCAAAGTCCGCCTTTAGTGTTATCCTTTAGTGTTGTACATCACTCTATCTCCTCCTTCCAACAGGACTCAAAGTCCGGCGATGCTGAGCTAGAAGCATGGATGACCTTTCAATGGACAGACACAAGGCTGTCGTGGGATTCTGCAACTTTCAATGATGTAACAATTACCCGCATTCCAGTATCCAAGATCTGGAACCATGATGTTATTCTCTTCAACGGGTAAGCATGCATTCGTTTAGTTTGCACGCCGCGTGTGTACATTATACTCTCAGAATAGTAGCAGAAATGCGAAAATAACGGATGATTGCAGAAACACAAAGGTGTGGAGTGATGGTATTGGATGGATAAGAAAAAGGAAGGACAAGGTGTAACATGACAATCAACAGACCATGTTGGCGGCGTATTGTAAGGGTGCAAACAACCAAGAATGAGCGTTTCAGATGACTTGATCAATAATGGATCATTCACCCACGATTGGTCAAAACTTCGTTTGCACGCTGTGGTATGGTCCGAATCAATCGCCCAATGACAGTTTGAAGGTGTCTTGTCCACTCCTCTAGCGCCCGGCTCAGTTCTGCTAACGCAGCGGGTCACCTTTGACGTTAACGTACACGTCTCGCGAACCTTCTCGCGTCTCGCGGCACAACTATTGTGGCCATTATGAGATATTGGTAGTACTGTCCAGTGATCCTTCCATGGACAAGAGGCAGTGACGTTCTGGAAGTCATAGTGATCCCGCCTCATATCATGAGGGACCCTATCCTTAATATGTCATGCCGGCTTAAGTTGACGTTTGCATGACATTCGTTAGGGCACCTCCAGACACGTCAACGACTATCCAGAAAGCCCAGAGTGAATCTGGACTAATCTGAAAACATTACACGAGACCATCGACGATCCCTCCAGTTCCCAACGCTCAAAACATCATTGATGTCAGACTGGAATGTGTCGATGTTTTTACGGTGGTACAACACGTGGTGGTCGAACTTGTAGATTAGCTGCATGCAGATCATTTCTATTAATCTGGGGCCCGTTCCACAAAGCGATCTTAGCACATCGGCTGTCTGAAATCTATCATAAAGTATATGAGTTACGATCGTCTTAGCGCTATAATCGCTTTGTGGAACGAGGCCTTCGTCAGGTACTTGAACTCCAGTTAACAGCGATTTGATTGACTGTTTGGGCGCGATTTCTTATTTCTATTTTTGATTAATCGTTCCTGGACTTTTGTTGTTGACCTAGGGCGCCTTGTGCGGGGCCGTTCATTAACATTTTGTGTCTGCGGAAAAATCTCTTCCAAAGTCTGCAAATCACAGACTGAGACACATTGAACATATTGGCTACGTTTCTCTGAGTTCTACCAGCTTAAAACATGCCAATAACCCTGACTGTCCTCGCCACCTGAAATACGGCACGAAATATGGCGATGATTAATTAGATAGCTGTGTGTGTTAGTACTTATTAAGTGAAAACAAGCCATTCCGCCGATAAGGAATATTACTTACATTAATGTCCAAAATTGCGCTTTTCAAGAAGTATCCATTTTGTTCGCGATAATCATCATCATTGAGTTTTGATCACGTGGTGGTAGAAGATGAAAGGATATAGTTATTGATATAGGTCACAGCTCCATGCAACTGTTGATCTAGGGTCTAACTGATATAACTATATAAGTGATAACTCTGTCCGCAGAAAGACAAGTGCCTCAGAAACCCTTGCCGTGGTGCACAGTGACGGAAGTATCTTGCATATGCCCCCCACCACTATCAAGACACGTTGTGACGTCAACAACTACACTACCGACGGCACCGTCACCTGCAGTCTCAAATATGGATCGTGGACGTACGATGGGTTTCTGCTCAACCTGGTGTCTCGTTCGACGAGTGTAGATGTATCATCGTACGAGTCGGGTGGGATAGCGTGGCATTTGACCGATCACGCGGCGACAAGGGAAGTCAATCACTACCCATGTTGCTCGGAGCCCTACGTGGATGTAACCTTCACCTTAACCTTCCAGGTTAAAGGTCAAAGATACAGCGGATGGAGCATATTTTCCTGATTTCATTGTGCAAGTCTTCTGGAACGTGACCAAAGTATTATTTTAGTATCCACTTCATGTGAAAGTAGTTGGTTTATTATTCAGTCGTAGCCAGGGCTACAAGAGGACTCACATTTTATCGCCTGCAGTTTTGAAATACTGAAGTGTCTAATTTCATCTCTCTGTAATAATGCATGCACATTTATCATAAATATTGCTTTTTGTTAACAGTGCACATTCACTACTTACACGCACAATGTCAGTATGAAGTTTCTACATATGAAATAAATTCTTGACCATATTCACTGTTTCATATTGTATGTACATCATTGAAGGGGGAGGTGGGGGGGGGGGGGGGGGGGGGGGGGGGGGTTAGTTACGTGTTTGAAGATCCGGGTTAGAATAGGTCATCAGCAACCGATGCTTGTCATGACAGGCGATTATGCCTAAAAGAGGCGACTAACGGGATCGGATGGTCAGGCTCGCTGAGTTGGTTGATGCATGTCATCGTATCCCAGATTTGTTATTTATTTACAGACCGCCGTCATATGGCTGGAATATTGCTGAGTGCGGCGTTAAACAATAAAAAAAGGAGAGGAACAAGTTACCTGCTATGCCAGTGTGGCTGAGCAGCCTGCAGAAGACTACATAGTAAGCTCTGTATGTAGTTATACAATTTCTCTAATTGATGACTCAAGGCAGTCTGGGAAGATGATACAACTTGTGGTCCGAGATGACTGAGATTGACACCTACTTCACCAGTTCCACCTCCCTCAATAACCTACTAAGAGCCAACGGCAGAAACACTACCAAACGCCTAGAACCTAAGGGTATAGTTCGTAAACATGCCACCACATCAACACCAGAGTCAAAGAGTACAAAAACTTCAACCTTCAAATCAGACAGTAAATCAGCCATCTTGAACCATATCAGCAACTGCCCCAACCACAACTGTGAAAATGTCCAAATACTCTCCAACAACCTCGTTGACTTCATTAAAAGAGAACCTACAGAAGCAGTCTACATTCTCCGCCCAAAGCCATCAATCAACAGAGATCAAGGCTATTTCATCCCACCCGCCTACTATGAACTCATTAAGCAATAATCACCCCACCGATGTATACTTATCCTATTTAATTGGCTTCCCAATCATGTTCTCTGTCCATCACGTTGTGACAGTATTATCCTTCTGTTGTCATTACTTACTCATGTTAATCCCCCTCATGTATGCAATTGTTGTTACTGTTAATCCTCCACCTACTATATATATTCTGTACCATGTTCATCATTCAGCCTTGCTTGACAACGGTATAAGGATCTGTACCGAAACGTCGCCTTTACAGTTATTAAAGAAGTTATTATCCATTACTTTTGTCGAGTTGGTCTTCAGCACCCCAGCTTGTAAGAGCACGACTATGTCGTAAAAGGCGACTATGCTTGTCGTAAGGCGACTAGCGGGATCGGGTGGTCAGGCTCGCTGACTTTGTTGATACATGTCATCGTACCCCAATAGCGTGGATCGATGCTCATAATGTCAATCACTGTATTGTCGGGTCCAGACTCGATTATTTAGACAACCATCATACAGATGGAATATTGCTGAGTGCCGCGTTAAACAAAGAAAAAATCCTGCCACACAGAGGGTTTATATTTTCTATTAGAGAGGACTGCGATATTCTTCGATGGTAATCATTAAGTATATGGTCAAGTCACCCTGAACTCTTTCTTGGGTGTGGGTGAAGTTCTGAAAAAGTTCGAATAATGCTCTAGATACTCAATAATAGAGAGAGCAAAGTCATCGGATCTTCTATGGAGAATTCTACGATGACATTGAAGATTGTTTGATTCTGATAGGTTAAAAAGAGGTTTCCTTTTTGCTACGAAAACCCCTTTTAAAAATATTAAGCCTTTTCACACAAAAAAACGTGCGTATTAGTACATCGTTTACCTACATATCGATTCATAAAAAATGTCTTGATCGATCACCCATAGGAACTGTAAAACGTATCGATATATCCTCTATTACACGTTGGCTCTCAAATGCAAGCCAGGTCTCTCTATACATGGAGATTTGAAAGTCCATCAGAAAACACTCCTCCATTTGAAAGGCCGCGAAAATAATTTAGTAGAATGTTTATTCATAAAGTTTGTTGGAAAAATATATCCGTTTAGCACTTTAAAAACTATTTCTACAACCTGCCACCCCTACAATGGGAAATGGCATGTTAAATTTCCATGTAATGACTTGTGAGTCCAAACAGCGCACAGCAGTTTGCGATTTGCTTTGGACGGTTACTTGTCAACTTCTTTTCGAAAAACTCTGTTTTGAACACTTATTTTGAAATGTTCTATGATAGCATGTACCCTGCATTGCACGAGAACACCGTTTTCAAAGCGTTCTTGCCGTCATAGTCTAGTGGAGATAAACCCACTGTGTTTTGAAATTGAAAAAAGAGGTATCTTCTCTACCCTTGGACTACATCAAATCTGAAAACACATAAGGCTTATCTCCTAAATGTCCACATGGCTTGGTATAATTACACTTACCCCTTAGAAAACATTTCCACCATTTTATCAAAAGTAGAGTCATGTTGCTTTGGAGCTTAGTTCGGTCATGTACATGATACTTGCAACATTACGGACCAAATCCTTAATGAATTGAGAAAAGGCTTCTCACATTCGTAAAACCGTTTCCATGCTATCAAACCGTTACTATCAAACAAAAGACACCCAAGTGATGGACAGAGTAACATTTTCTTTAGGATCACCAACCTGGTCAGTGTCGATTTCACTGAGTAAGTTTCATGTCGCTATTGACACGATTAGGTATTGAGGTCGGTATTCACCTTCCTTGTGACAGAGGTTTCCAAAAGGTTGTTTTACAAGATTCCTAGAGGTCAACAAAGGTAGTTGCAAATCACATCACACGTTGATATATATGCATACACAAGTATTGGATGCAAATAACACGATGAGTTTGTCAGGGCGGTCATATTTTCATTCAGTGATTCTTGCTGGTCACGTTTCATAGACTTCAGACTTCAGAGTGGATGTCGAACTTGTCGAAGGTGACGAAAATGCAAATGCACACCAAAACCCTGTGGTGTATTTTGTTTGTTTCCTCTGTGTAATATGAAGAAGAAAACTCCAGAACTAATCGACCGGAAGGAGGAATCTGGCACAGAAGATTGGATATAGAAGGAGACATCTTGGAGAAGATTTAAAATTCTTTGCTGCATGAATTATAGATGGGGATGAATGACATAGTAGAATTTAATCACGTGTAATTGTTATAAAGCAGAATGTTATAAGAATCTGTATTGGTCTGGCATTCATGTAGTTAGGTACTTGATTTAAATTATGTACGTTCATCATTGTTTGTATTGTGTTATTGTTGTTTACTTCAGTTCAGACCTAAAGAACACCAACATGTATCTCGTATTTGAATCGTAGTCCAGTCTATGGTTCGAAAAACTACCCCATAGATTGACAACACAACTGTATTTAAAGAGATTTATGAAAGTAATTACTAACTGACAGTAAGTTTTCATCACAAGCAGGGGCGGTGGGATAGCCTGGTGGTCAAAGTGTTCGCTCGTCAGCCGAAGACTCGGGTTCGATCCCCCAATGGGAAAATGTGTGAAGCCTATTTCTGGTGGCTCCCGCCGTGATGTTGCTGGGATATTGCTTAAGGTTACGCAAAGCCATACTCACTCACTCACTCATCACGAACAACTGGACTGAACGAACTGAACTGTTATACGTTCGGATGGCAATGAGCACTGTTTGAGGATTAGCTGTATCAGGGCTGGACAAGGCCTCTGCGTGTAGAGAAAATCACGTGTTGGTCATCTTTTGTGCTAATCAACAGGAAAATAGTAATTATAGCAATTGTGACGCATAGCAACGTCTGCTACATATTCTGCTGCTGGAGCCGCGCTGGCAAACAGAGAGAGCTACACGTACAGAGAATACCATGGTGTACATTGTGGGGCTGCTGGCATTGTGTGCTGTGTGTAGGTTATGTGCATGAACAAATGCCAACGTGTTAGTGCTATCAGCAAAGAGCGCGCAGCAGTTACGTCAACACTGTACCCAACCCGGCCTGAATCGTCCGTTCTTTTGAGATACCCAATGGCTGGGTCACTGATTTTAATGTACCGTTATAATTGTTTAATGTAGCAGGTATATAAACACTTTTGCGTCTTGAAAATATGCAAAGATGTGGGCTCAAAACAAATCTGTACTTTTGAAATTACAGATTTGTTAAAAGTTTGATCAATTTTATCACGATAGTGTTTAAACAAGTCCTCAGCCTCCATCTGCTTGAAAAAGATCATCCTCAATGAAAATCTCGACTGCAATATGGCCATCCTAATCAATACAGAGTACTTCATGAGCAAAGCCAGAATCTTTGACGAGACATGATCATGATAGACAGTATGTCTATAACACTTATATATTAGTAATCATTTCAAATCTTCCATTTCAAGAGGCCATATCATGCAGGTCACTGTGTTTTATCTTTGGACAAGGTGTTTGACTCCACTGCAAATGACTGAAACAGTTGTTGACTGTGGTTTGAAATCTTCCCTAAGCATCATTTACCCTGACTTTGAAAAATATACAACATAAGCAGAGTTGTATTGTCAAAAGACATGAATAATATATCAATATCATTACAAGTTATGCCATGATTGAGAATAAAAATGAAGTTATTGTGTCCACAGTTTGGAAGATGGGATCAGTTGTTCAGTATTCGATCAACCATTAAGACTGACCACAGTACATGCAACTCTCTTTAATCTACAGAATGTCACATTTGTCAGCCAGTATTGTCAGGGCTAGTGGTACAGCATTGACAGGGCTAATGGTGCCGCATTGGCAGGGCTAATGGTGCAGCACTGACAGGGCTAGTGGTGCCGTATTGACAGGGCTAATGGTGCCACATTGACAGGGCTAATGGTGCCGCATTGACAGGGCCAATGGTGCAGCATTGAGAGGGCTAATTGTGCCGCATTGACAGGGCTAATGTGCCGCATTGACAGGGCTAAAGGTGCCGCATTGACAGGGCTAAAGGTGCCTCATTGACAGGGCTAATGGTGCCGCATTGACAGCATTGACAGGGCTAAGGGTTCCGCATTGACAGGGCTAATGGTGCCGCATTGACAGGGCTAATGGTTCCGCATTGACAGGGCTAAAGGTGCCGTTTTGACAGGGCTAAAGGTTCCGCATTGACAGGGCTAGTGGTGCCACACTGACAGGGCTCATTGTGCCGCATTGACAGGGCTAATGTGCCGC